GTTCTTCTCATTCTCTGTCAGCACGTGAGTCTGCCTCTGTTTCCTGCAAGCCCAAGGATATGCTGGCAGAGAGAGTGACGGCTAATTCATTAGAGAGATTAGACACCGGGTCTCATGCCAGAGCAGCGAGCTGTGGACAGGAGATAGGAGTGTAAGCATCAGTGTCACTTCAGTGACAGGTTGCCCTTAACCTTGGGTGTCATATACATGTCCTGTCTGGGGAAAGAATGTTTCAAATATCAATTTTCGAAATTTAAATGATGTCTTAAAGTAAAACAGTGAATCCCTCAAAGATGTTCTTTAACTCATTTGCTTTCATGGAAATCTTTAGCGAACAGCTAGATTAGGGATTTAGGTTGGTATTTAATTAAGGATTGCACAATAGCCCTTATTACAGAATTCAAATGCTTTGGATATGCTTGAATAATCTTGAGTGGTAACTGAATGTTTTTCAAAAAGCAGAACAACTTCCTTATACTTTTTAGTAGAGAATTCATGGAAGTATATGTTGTTGTTAGTCGGTGCATTTATTTATTTATTTTTTAGTTACTGTTGCCATGTTGGAATTACTTAAGGGAGTGCTAAATAACTTTTTTACTTGCAGCTAATGTGTTTATTACATGTAGTGTTGATGTTCCTTTTGTTGAATAATCTGTAGTCCAAAATAGAGAAGTGGAAAGTAAAAGGGAAAATAGGAAACTAGCTTAAATGTTGGTTTTTTGATTTTTTTCCCTTATTTTGGAATTTCTGATCTTTTTCCCACTGGTAAAACACATGCCGTCCCCTGGTGTTTTGTTTCTGTTCCTAGTATGTTGCTGCCACGCACAGAGAACACTTGGACAGGAGTTTCCTCTCCTGTCCCTTTTACTGGTCATGTCAGTTGGGATTGGAGTGTGAGCTGACAGCAAGTAGTGTCCAGTTCATTTTATAAATAAAGAGCAGGAGACCAGTACAGGCAGATAAGTGTTCAACAGCTGGCTTTCTGAGAGAAAGAGACCTGATTTGAGATGGTTAATGATTTCCATAGTATAAATATTGCTGTCATAGCTGATGCCAAACTAGGAACATGATTATTGTCATGTTCAATTGGAAAAAGATGTACACAGTAAATCAGATCAATGCAAATCAGACCAACCAAATTAATGTTTTAAAAAAGTGAGTCTCAGATAATTAGTAAATTGTACTAAAATTATTAGGAAATAATGAGCTTTGAGTATTTTTTAAAGCCTATGCTTTAGAATATAACTCATTCCACTGTAAATCTTTAGATTTTAATTTTTAACAATGGCTGTGTTGAATAACTGGCTCTCAGCATTGCTGGAAATTTGGCCGCCAGCTCTCTTGGCCTGGTTCTGCACCAGTAAGGATACACAGACAGTTGTCTTGCAAGGGTCCACTGATAGGTTGCAGCGACAGAGCCAAAATTGATAGTTCTGTTTCTAAAATCCAAATTTCCTTGGAAAGATTTACTTATCTATATTTTTGTTTGTTTATTGCATTGCCCAACAAGCTGTGAAAGAAGATCATTACAGGCTGCTATTATCTGTTGAGGCAATAAGTCTGTGTTTGAATAATCAAAGATGGGACAATGGAAAGCAATTTGGATTTAGAGCTATGACTAAATGCTGGCTTTGAGCCTTGGCCCTACCACTCACCAATGGTTCAGTCTTGATCAAGTCAATTACTCCTCTGGCTTCAGTTTTTCAATCTGTCAGATGGAGAAATTGGTCCACATGAACGTTTAATATATCGTGCTTGTCTAAAATAGCATGTCTCATGGTTTAGATCCATCAATAAAACAAATATTTGCTTTGTACCAATTATCTGCATACTTGTTATGGACTCTGGGTAGAATTAAATGGAAATATATAATCAAAATTTTTAGTATAACAGCAGCTCACCTTTATGTAGAGCCTCCTAGTTACCAAAGATAAACATACTTTGAAGGTCTGAGGTCTTGAGGCTTTAGAAGGTCAGGATGTGTTCACAGAATGTTAAGAAAAGAATGACACATTCTAGAAGAGCCTTATTCCTAGGAAACACAAGAGATCATAACCAGGTAGTGATAAGGAAGAAGGAACAAGCACTTTTTGGCCATTTCTATTAATTGCTTCATTTAGTTTACGAAAAAGCCAAAATAATTATAAAATTTACTTTTTCTGATTATAAAATTAATTACTATGAAAAACTTAGAAATTCTTAAGAAGTATTAAATAAGGAGAAAATACCACATAGCCAACCTAGTATTCTGCTTTTCTTTGTCTATTTTCCAAAATATTCTCAATAGAGTCATTGTATTTACTGTTGTTAATTTCATCATTTGGTGTGTAGTAATTGATGTTGTTGGAGGTTGAAAGTGTTGTTTATTATTCCAAGGAACCGTGAGACAAGTAGCTCTGTTAATTAAGTATTTTAAAATTGTACATTGAACATATAGTTTCTAACTGTGATAGTTAAGATTTTGTAAGATAATTTTAACACATAATGCACTTTTGAACTTTAGTTTGATTCTGGCACTATTATTTGATTTCACTAAGATTTTATTGCTTTTAAACATTTATTAAGAGAAACATTTTGCCTGAATTCTTCAGTATGATATATTTGAATTGCAAATACTACTAGTGTTTTTAGGTTAGAATAGATACAATGAAGTATTTGGTTAATAGACATTTTTTTCCCACTTTCTAAGGGAGATAGACTCTATGTAGTATAGGGTTTATTAGTTTAGGAAGTGCTTAATAAGTATTTAACAACTAAAAAAATTTCAGGCTAATTTAAAGGAAGCAAAATAATTTGAGAAGAGTGTTTAAAACTCTATTCCTCCATTCATATTAGCTTTCATTCTCATGAGGAGAGATGACAGCTAAGCACGGTTGAGGGACTCTGATTGTTAAATGAGAACTATGAAATGAATTATGTTGTTGCCTTAATTCACCTACATGTGAAACCCTGACTCCAACTGGAATTGATTAAATGTTAATGAGATCTACTAAACTGACCCAACTCTAACATTTATGTATTAGATTTATGTCAATTAAAACAAGAATAGTTTTACCTCTGTCATTCTTTAACATCTCTGAGTCAACTTCTGCTGTAGAGGGGAAGTGCTGTGACTACCATAGTTATTTAAATATTAATGGTTTCCACTAAAGGGCACTGGAGGTTTGCAGTGGAAGCCTGAGAATAGATGGCAGGATTGGTTTCTTGTTTCTGCACCCCCCACCCCTGGGGCAGGGGGAGAAGGACCTCTTTTACTGGAAGAGCTTCTTCCATTATTTTTTAATATCACATTTTTTTTTTCTGAATCAGATAGTAGGATTGTTGATTTCAGGCATTCTTTGAAAGTAGCTATAGTATTTAAACATCAATGTAACATAATTTTAAAAAAATGTTTTTATATTGCCATAGTGGCCATTACCCTTGGGCTTCTTGGAAACTTAATTTCAGTTTCTAAATTCATTCGGTAATAGGCAAAAGCATTATTTTTTAGCTCTGTATTATATTTCTTTGGGCTTATTAAGAGAGACAATGAGAGTCATATAATCAATCAAGTTATGAGTATGTGCTTTTGTCCTGATGGGGAAATGTTGCTGAAGAGCTTTTTAAATTCACTACAACCAATATTTTCAGATTATGTCAAATTGGTTTGTGATAAGCATGTGGTTAATAGGGTTTTACACATTTTGTATTTTTTAAAATGTTTTACTGGCTTGGCATTTTAAAGCATTGAACAATCAGAAGCAAGCATTTTATTTGCGTAATGGTATATCTCTTTTTGCATCCAGAAACCTGAGTGAATAGAGTGCTTAGTTAATGTATTTTATTTAGAATTTAGCACCAAGAACTTGGACCATGCTCAGAAAGCAAGCAGTAGTATAAAATGGTGACATGGCACTGGTGTGATCTTCATGGACTCAACAGGGTCAGGACTGGGTAGAGTTGAGAGAGACACCTGCATCAAGTGGAAAATTTGAGAGAATGTAAAAAAAAAATCCCTGAATAATCAAGATAAATAATTGATGGAGAGTACTGGCCTTAACTGGATTCATCCTCTTTGACATCCTTGCCAGAGAAACTCACTTGGGTCATTTTTCTAAACTAAAGTTGATGATTAGAACTCTCACTTTCCTGGTGGATTTATTAGGATATTTAAATCAGGTAAAAATATGTAGAAAAGCCCATTGTAAATATGACATACATTTACGTACAAAAGTTTAGGTAACTCACCATGCTATTTTAAGCCAGTGTGATGATCAGCCCTGAAAAATACTCTCAGCAAATATCTGATTTGAAGAATCTTGGAAAACTTAGTTGCCAATATATTTTGGGGCCTTATTTCTTGAGTTTGCCTATAGATAAACAATGGTGGAGGCACTTGAAAATATTTGGAGAACCCTCTCTCTTTTCTTCCTTCTTTGTTCAAAACCTGATGATCTGTAAGAAATGGAGGACACAACCAGTCTCCATTGCTCGTTTTAAATTACTCTGCAAAGTGCTTGTGGATTGCTGAGGTCTTCCCACCCTTGCTCAAGTTGTTATCCCACGCACAAGTAATTCCTTTACTGAGTTCTGCTACCTTTCATAAGGACATCACCTAAAATAGCTCTGAATTCTGTCCCCTTCTATAGAGGCAGAACACTCTCTATACTCATTTGATCATCTGTCATAAACTCCTTATTGTCTTGAAGTTTTATCTACCCCTCCACTGAATTTACTTTACTAAAAAAAAAACATATATATATATATATATATATATATATATATATAAATTGTTTTCTAGTTATATTATAAATACCTAAAAGAATCCCTCTTTGGTAACATCAGGATGAGCAGGGTTTGACTCTCTCTCATTCATGGTCATATTTAACGTGCTTAGCAAAGGCACTTTTCAGTCCATGAAAAAAATTTTTAAGGGAATAAATGGATTTCTTATATGTAGAAGGGCTGGGAAAATACTGTTTTTGGCTTCATTTGTGAAATGCTACTGTTTTTCATCCTAGACTCAGAAGGAAAGGTTGGTGCCATGTGGAAGGTGATCGTTTTCATGGTCCTGATGACATTCAGCCCCTGTGATGGGCTGTTTCAGTCCATATACCGGAATGCCCAGGTTTCCATGCCACCTAAAGGAGATACGGGACAGCCAGTGTTTGTTACCCCTTACATAGAAGCTGGGAAGATCGAGGAAGGTGAGTTCAATTCAGAGCAACGTTTGGAATATTTTCTAATCTGTTCTCTTACAAGATGCAAAGTATATTCTAATATATTTACTTGATTTTTATATCAAATATTAATGATTTGATGTCATATATTGTAAGCCCTCCTGGACCTCATTGAAGTCCAGAGGAGCTCACGTTTGTAATTCCAGGGCAAAGTTACGGGAGTAATTCTTTTTTTTTTTTTTTTTTTTTTTTTGGTCTTTTTCGTTTTTATCGGTACCAGGGATCGAACTCACGACTGCCTGCTTGCAAGGCAGGCGCTTATGCTGCTGAGCTAAATCGCCAGCGCCCAAGTGAGTAATTCTAGTCTACCACTTCCAGTGCAATCCATGGCAAGGATAAAGACACTAAGACATATTTGTAATTGTGGGGAGACTAGGGGGTCCTATCTCCAGCTAGATCCATGGATAATGGAAGCAAAGGCCTTAATCCAGAGCCAAACCTGGATTTTATTAATTCGTGAAGAGGGGAGTGGCTCAAGGATGGGTGATTGAGAGAAAGGCGGGAAGTATGTGAGTGCTGTGAGCTGAACTAGGTAGGAAGCTTGATGGGGCCTTGGAAGTATACAGAAAGAGAGAGAGAGAGGGAGAGAGAGAGAGAGGAAGAGTAACCTGCATATCACAGGTAAAGTATCTCATGTTTAGTGTTTAAGGGTAGGTGGGTGCTACTACTTTGACATGTAATCTTCATACCCTGAGATGTCATAGATTCTTTCTAGAGCCTCAGTCTCAGCTGACAACAACTGCGTGGTGTCACTTGGCCTAGCTCACACATGCTACTTGGGAGCTATAGGTGGGGCATCACTGACCTGTCCAATTGCTTTAAAGACTACACATCAGCGCCTGGTCTAGACCTATTTGCATTGTTTAAAACCAATTGAAGGAATGAAGAAATATCCTAGCCAGCTCTGTACTTATCAATACATAGAAATAGGGCCAAATTTTCTTCTTTCAAGGAGAATTGTCCACGTGGTCTTCCATAATATATTATCTGAGTACTGAGCTAAAATGAGAATTAGGGTTTGAAGATCATTTATATGGTAAAGTTTCAGCATCTACTTATAAAACTAGTGAGTGCCTGTCACCAGTGGGTGCTTGACAAGGTTCCTGTGAAACTGGAAACTGCCTACATGTCAGTCAAGCATTCTGTGTGAACTCATTTACGCATCTCAGCAAAGCAAGGGGGACTTCTTTGTACTAAAGCAGTAGCTTGAAGGACTTGGCAAAGGCTGCAGTAGACGCAGGCTTCGCATGCAAATGGGGTCACCACATCCACTTTGCTATGCCCCTTCACCTGACAAGTCGCCCACACAGCTTGCCCTGCTTTCTCATTAGTAAGGTGGAGATTTAATAACTTACCCAACTTGCACAGTGTTAAGAGATTCTGAAAAGAGAAAGTGGGTGAAAGTTCTTTGTAAATTACTTTCCAAATATTAGTGTTTGCTAGCATTTAAGCAAATTTGTTTTTAGAGTGTGGATTTTCCTATTACTATTGTTAAAAGGAAAAGAAAGTGTCATTTGGTGTTGTTAGGGTCTAAAATGTGTGAGCCCCATCTGTGTTTAATGACATTCAGTGCTTAGGTAAGTCACTGTGTGGATAAATGACATTTGTAGAGATCAGCAGAAGATTGAGGTGGTGGACAGAAAAACAGTGGGGTTAATGAGGGTCTTTAAGAGGAGTAAGGTGTTCCTGATAGAAATGATGGGGGAGGGAGCCACTGTTGAGACTGTGTTTAAGCAGGAGGGAGACCGGAGGCATTAGCATTTGCTCAGGAGCCCAAGGTTTGTCCTGAGTCACAGGTGAGAAGGCAGAATTTGTGTCCAGGCCGCTGGGAGGTTGGCAGAGGGGATGAGAATGCATGGAACTGGCAGTTTGAGGGAAATGATCATTCGAGAGATCAAAGATCCAAATACTGTAGCGAAGTTTAAAATAGAGCAAAGTTTCTTTGAAAAGTGTATACAGGAATAGGATGTCATCATTTCTGTTTTCTTTCAAATCAAGGCATTTCAGATCTTTCACATCATAGTATCTAAAGGGCATATGCAAGTCCTGCTTGTACATCTTTTTGGAAATATATGTCAGCTCCACGTTTTACTATCTTTCTAAGGAAAGGTGAAAAAACTTTGGTAGTGTATGTAGTACATTTTTAAAAGGACTCATCTTTACTTGATGTGGGAAAGTTGTGAATAGATAGCTGGCTGATTGTGTGGGTGCATTCCTTTTTCATCTCCCTCTTTTTCTCTCTTTCTGTCTCTATCTCTGTCTGTTTGTCTGTCTGTCTCTCTCTCTTCCTTCCTCCCTCCCTTCTTGGAGACTGAACCCAGGGACTGTGCACACACCTACATCCTCAGTCTTTATTTTTTAGGTTTGGTTTTTTTTTTTTTTTAATTTTGAGTCAAAGTCTTGCTGAGTTTCTCCAGCTGGGTTCAAACTTGGGATCCTTCTGCCTCAGCCTTCCAGAGTACTGGGCAGCAAATTCACCCATACATGAAATGGATCACAGTGCATTTATTTTTGATTCCATAATAAGTAGATACTAATGAATTCATTTATGTTAATTAATAATGATTGGAACAGACCATTTACTTTAGAACTGAAAAGGAGTTCAATAATCATGGTTATGAAACTCTACCATTTTACAGGTGAGAAAATCAAGATTTAAATCTCTTAAGAACTTGCCCAAGGGGATGCAAGTAATAGAGATGGGGTAGCAGAGGTTTATATAGGACTCAATCTTCAGACTTCTGCTCTGTGATTTGCCTATAATTTATTTATTTGCTGAAGAAGCTCATAGTCTTCTGAAGTAATGAAACATTTACACAAAATAATTAAGAAATAAGGCAGTGCAACCTAAAGTGCCAAAGTATCATAACTGCATTAGGTATGCTGGAAATTTTGAGAAGAAAGCAGTTGGGGAATCCAGGGGAAATATGTGGTGTGGATGAACAAAAAATGTGGCAAATATCTAAACAAAATTTCATTTAGATTACTACCTATTCCGCCCTCTGTACTCTCTTTTGCTTTGAACACAGTTATTCATCATTCCTGCCACCTTCTAAAGTGATTCTGGATGTTCTCTTTTGTGAGTGTCCAAAGTTGTGTTCTTCTGGCTTCCTCAGTGTCTTGAGTGGATTCTAAATGTTTGTAGCAGTTTCAAATAAAAACATTACAGTGTGTCTTCATCTATCTTATTCACCAGGTCTGTGTCTTCCCTAAAGTCAAAATGTCCATGAAAGGTAAATTTTTAAAATTGATTTAGGTCATCAAGCCACCCATGACTCTGCAACTACAGATATTTACTTCAGAAGTGGTAAGAATGACGGAGTAACAACAGCATTCAAAGCTAGAGAGAGTGTTTGAGGGAGGATTAATGCCAGTGTGTCTTTTACTGTAACAAATTTTTAAAGAAATTTAAACAATCACTGTACATTTGGACTGTATGGCTTTCATAGTAAAAATAATAGATAATAACATTTTATAATTATATCCCTGGTACCGAACACAATATGAATAAATATTCCAGTATGAAATAAGCACTCAATAAATACATGTGCAATTTAAATTTGAGTCATTACCATGGGCCAGGTATTATATTATACATCTATTAGTTCAATTAATCCTCATAGCAACCTTTATGAGGAATATTGTCTTATTTTGCTCTTGTTGCTGAAACAAAATACCTGATGCCCAAAATTAAGAGAGGAAAGGTTTATTTAACTCACAGTTTGTGGAGGTTTCAGTCCATTGTCAGCTGGTTCCCAGACAGGGTGAAATGGCAGAAAAGCAACAGTTCATGGTGGTAGAAGACAGTAGAAACAAGAAGAGCAAAAAAGGGCCTAAAGGGAGAAGACTCTTTTGCTCCTTCATATTGTATGCAGGCTCCCCACCCCAGGGCAGGTGCAGCACTCACACCACCAATCCCAGCTCTAGACAATGAACCAGTCACAGACTCTAGATTCAGCTGCCTCTGAAAAGCCTGCCCCCATGACTACATGAGGCTTTGTGGGGACATCTAGATACAAACCATAACAGACGGTACAAATATTGTTTTTCTTTTTAATTTTTTTTTTTTTTTTGTCTTTTTCCTTTTTATCGGTACCAGGGATGGAACTCACGACTGCCTGCTTGCAAGGCAGGTGCCTATGCCGCTGAGCTAAATCTCCAGCCCCCAAATATTGTTTCTATTTTGTGGATGAGAATACTGAGGTACAGAGAAATGAAGTCTTTTGCCCAAACATATAAAACGAGGAAGTGGCAGAGCTGGAATCATAACTTATGCCTGCCAGTTCCAGAACCAGAATTGTGGACTACTCTGCTGTGTGGTTAGCTCAATACATGTGGTTGTAGGTAAAATCTGAGAAAGAGAGAAAAGTCTCTGCCTGCTGAATGAGAGTAATAGCATAACAAAGGCATTAAGTGAAAGTGACCGTGGGGTGTCTGTGTCATGCATTTGACAGAACCAAGTGAAAAGAATGTAGACAAACCCACCTGAGAGGTGGTTCACATTCCTCCTCTTCCCACTTTTTCCCACCCAGGAGAGCATTCCACTATTAAGCATGGGGAGTGGCAGATGAAGTCTGGGGGAGGGAGGTATTTTTATATGGTTTCCTTTTGTGCCAAGCCTGGTAGATCGTCACCCAACCAGTGCGAGTATTTCAGGTAGTAAATCCTTAGTTAATGTTGCTTTCTAAAGCTGTGTTACACAGCCTGAATCTTTGAATGGAATTTTAAGTGGCTGATCCAAAAGCTGATACATCTAGGTATTCATATGCAATCCTGACAACATCATTAAGGATAATCTTATTCATCCGCTTTTCTGAAAGTTCAGGAAGCTCTGGACAGATGGTCAGCTCACTCCTCTAGCTCCCTTTTGTTTATCAAGTCTGTCAAAGCCCTAGGAACGTGTCTTAATATCACAATGGAACATTTTTAAAGTAAACAGTAGCTCACAAAAAGACAAGGGATTGTTTTTAAAATTTCCAATTAGCTGGCTTGGTTTTATGTAATTGTAATTGCATGTTTACTCTCTCTGCAGCTTAGAATAAATCTTTTACTTTCTGACACAAAATGAATGTAAGAAGCAATGTTAGCATATTTATAAACAGTGCATTTTTACCAATTTTAAAGAATAGTTTGCTATTGGGTCCTAATTTATTATTACTTATGGACTGTAACATCTTGTCTATACCCATGATGATTCAAATGTTATGAATGTAACATGCTTTGTCCACACTCCATTCTTTTTGAAAGTGTTAATATTGTAAACCCTGGTAGCAGCAGTAAGTAACACGGAGGAAGTGAAATCACTTCAAAGAAAACCTTCCCTTTCTTAACTGTTTTTAAACATTTGTGTGGTGAGTCATGGTGCCAGAAAGATAAAAAGTCCTACATCATGCAGTTTGTTTCCACATTCCAATAATAGACGCTGGAAACATGAACAGGACTTGCAAAAATACCCCCCCAAAAAAATCATATTAGTTTAAAGAACTTTTAATTATTGTATTGTGATTTGGTGAATGGGGATTTAAAATGTGAAACAGGACAGAAAACACTCTTTATGGACTACTGTCATAGAGAAAAGGTTTTCCAATGTCTTAAGGTATCCAGAAGGCCTGTATTCTTTAGAAGGCTTTTATAAAAATAAGCTTAATGTGAAAGCAAAGTCACTGTGGCTGTTATTGTTGGTTCATTGTTTACTCGTTCACCCACCCATTCATTAACATTCATTCATTAAAAAGTATTTTGGGAATGTCTTTAGTGTGAATCAGCATGCCAAATCCCAAGGGATACAAAGACACCTAAGACAAATTCCCTGCTTTCTACCAGCTTCTGATGGAGCGGGAGGAAATGTACTAAGTACAAGATAGCAGAGAAGCCATTAAGGCAACCCCAGGGACGGGGATGAGTGAACATCTGCATTGTCTGAGAGCTGGCCAGTGGACCCTGCGCTGCGCTGCTCTGGGAGACAGATTGATTCAATCATCTTTCGCCATATTCCATTCCCTCCAGCTCCTTTCTATTACGTATTTTCTCTTTTTCTCATTATACTTTGACCTTTCTCATTTTTCTCTGTCTTCTTTCTTGAATCTACTCCTGTTTACCGCTGTCTGCTCAGTTCACATGTTACCCATTTCCATCTTAGTTTCTCCTCTCTCTTTTGGGGGATGGATGGGTGGGGAAATCCCTGTTTGACTTTCAGAAGAGTAATGGTTTTGTTTAAGATGTGTTGTAAGCATTGTAAGGGTTGTCTGACCCTGGCGGGTGATCTTTCTCTGTGCGAATCAAGAGTAGGAATAAAGGAGGGGACAAAAAGAAATGACAGCTGGCAGAAAGAGTGCAGGGAAGTGTTCAGAGGAACCAGGAAAACTACATTCCATGAAAGCCTCCTTTTTTTGTATTCAAATCCTCCTCCCTTTGTCTTATTGCCCTTTTTCTGGTGGGAAGATGTCTTAGTACATTGGCTATTACTATCATCAGTAACACAGACTAAATAACTTCCAAAGAATAAAGGTTTATTCACCTCACGGTTCTGAAGGCTAGGAATTTCAAGCTTACATAGCTGAATCTGGCAAGATGTGGGGATTTTCTGGTGTCCTGGTGTAGCATTTTTTATCACCTGATGAGAAAGGATATCCTAACTCAGCTTCCTCTTCCTCCCTTTACAGAGCCACAGTCTTCCTAGATTAGGGCTCCACCTTAGTGGCCTCCTCACTTAACCTAAAGTACCTCCCAAAGTCCTCTCCACAATGGGATTGAGTTTCCACTCTTAATAACTCACACTGAGGATTAAACTTCAGCAGTTTTGGTGGGGACCTTCAGACAGTCCTAAGGACAGGTCTCACTGGGCAGAGAATGGGAAGAGCTAAGAGTTTGAATTAATCATCTTTTTCTCACAGAACTGGGCTGACCCAAAAAAGGCAAACCTTGCAGACTTCTAGACTTCACTTGGGATGGCTCCCGGCTAATGATAGCTGTGCCTCTCACTGAAAAGACCTCTATTTTATATGAACAGACCTCCAGTCCCTACTGAGCATGTTTATAAGCATTTTTCCCATTCCATCCTCACCGGGCACCCAAAGGGAGGGAATCAGTGTCCTCATTTTGTCCAAAAAGAAAGACGCTCAGAGGTAAAGAGACTTACTAGGGGCCTAGTTGGGATTTACAAACCCAGGTCTGTCCAGCCTGGAAGCCATTCTCTTCTCTTATGCTGACCTGGCAGGACCCTAATGCAACTGCCCATTGAGTCCCTTCCTTTGTCCCCACCATGGCCTCTACTCCCACATACTCCCTGTTTCTGATCCTCAGGCACATATCACATGTAATCAGCAGGTGACACTAGCTGTGCCTACTCCAGGTGGCTTCTCTCTGCAGGTTGTACATGTGTGGACTCCTGCATTCCTGAGCACCCAGAAGGTGTTGACCTTTCATAGATGACAGACTGAAGCACGGGGGCCTGACTGCTCCTCAGTAAGATCATTCGCCTGTGCGATAGCTCTGGGATCCACACTGTGCTTAGAAAAAGGAACTGTGTTCTGGCTGAGTTCCCTTTTGGAGAGGCACATCCATTTTGAAAGAGGAACTTGTGGTCTCTGAGTCATGCTGTATTGGTGGGAGTTTAACCACCAGCTCTCAGGTCAGGGCCAGGTTCTGTAACACTGATTTCCGGGGATGCAAATTCTCTCACTCCAGCTGACTTCATACAGTTGGTGATGTGGCTGAGGGCCGAGCTGGGGACAGATGCTGACACACGGTGTTCCACAGCCTGTTGGCACCTGCCTGGCACTGAAGGTCTTTTGCAAAGGACTCCACTCCTGACACCCAGACTTCTCCTCCTACTTTTGCCCCCCCCCCCACCTACTTGCTGTTCCCTTTCTACGCCCTTCCAATTCACTAGTTCTCCCATTCCCTGTTACGTACAACTGCTGACTAATATAATTGAGAAACTGTGTAACAGGGTGTGGAAAGGAGCAAACCCGACTGAAGCCATGTTTTCTCGAAAACAAGACCAGGTCTGGTATTAATTTTTGCTCCAAAAGATGCAAGAGGGCTTATTTTCAGGGATGTCTTATTTTGCATGTACAATAAGTTATATTTCTTCATATAAGCAATCTACATTTATTCATTTATTCATTTATTCATGTACAAAAATCTACATTATTCAAATACGGTCATGTCATCTTCTTCTGGAATATCTGAAAGCTTTCCAAAGCTTTCCAAACCCCAAACTACAACTTGAATTTCCTGTGACTCCGTTTCCTGTAGAAACATTGGCCCCAGTTGCTCATATCCAGCAACAGAGCCCTCTGTAAGTGAGCGGTTCTTGTCCACGTGGCCTGCCTGTAGTACGCTGGCAACGCAGCTGCCAGTGATTTTTATCCCCTGGATTCATCACCCAAGTCACAACCTCTTGCAGGCTGGGCTTCACCAAGTTTCCATTAAATCAAGTGTTAACTGAAGACTTAAGAGACAGGAGTGGCAGCAAAAATGGTGGCAGGGAAGAATGATGATCCACACAAAGCCACAGAAAGCACCAAAATTCAGAAAGTGTTTCTTTACTTCACATGAGTGTCTGCAGTACGGCTATTGCAACACATGGCGTATTGAATTATGAAGACTCATTTTAGACACAACCACGTCTGTTCATTCTCAAATGTGCTTGTTATTTGTGCACTGTGTCTGTACTCTGGTCACTGGGCAGTAGTTCGGGAGTGCATCTGTTTATATAGGTGTTTATTTCTCATCTGAAAGAACCTTGTTAGGTATTTACAAATACCCAATTATAATTTATATTACCATTTAAGAATTAATGTCAGTAATATTTACTTATATTTAATTGTACATTAATATGTCATTTTATAATTTAATGTGTCTGTCATGTGTTGCAGTGAATCTGCTAAATTAGCCCATCTGGCTGATGCTCTTAACTGGGACTTACATTATGAGCATCCTAAAAAATCATGCCAGGGCGTATTTTCCAATAAGGTGTTATTTTTGGGAAGACATGATAGGTGTAAATGCCAGTTCTCCTGCACTAGCTGTGTGACCTTGGGCAAGTTGCTTAACCTCTCTGTAGTTCAGATTTCTCAACTATAAAATGGAGATAATAATTGTGCTCCCCTCACATAATGCAAAGCTCGTAGCGTAGTGCTAACTTCTGTTTGTGTTGCCTACACCTAGGTGTCCTCAGCTGTCTGAGCCTTCCCTCTTTCTCTTCTCCTGTCTCTGCCCCTTTCTGCCATAAAGTCAGGCTCTCCTGTTCCGCAATGGCTCTATGTGTGGCTTCCCCTGAATATCGCTGAGATCGCTCCACTGCTTGCCTCTCCCCTGTCCCTAACACCTCCAGCCGGCCCCGAGCCCCATATGCCTCAGGCTCTGCCTTACCAAATGAAACTGTAGAGAACCCCGCCCTCCCCATGTCTGAGAGCTGCTGAGATTTGTCGTTTTCTTGAGCCTTTTGGGTCAGGTGGCTTTTACCTCCCCCTTCCTACGTGGCCCACTGTGAACACTGTGGTTTACATGAAATGTGATAGGTGATTTTTCTTTTCATCTTTAAAAATTTTAAACAGTTCATAAAATATTTTTGAGTCACACTCCCCCCCAAAACGAAATGAAACAAAACAAAACAAAAATACTTAAAAGTGTCACTCATCCCTGCTAGAACTGTTAACATGGACTATGCTGGTTTGGCCAGAAGCGATAGAAATTGGCTCTGCTAAGACCCTTTCATGCCAAACCCTCTGGGGCTTTTTTGATCACTTCTTGCCTGGGTCTGGTTCCTGGGAACAGTCTCTCTGAGACTGAGGTGGCTCACACGGCGCTGTTCTCTAATCCTTGGATATATTTCATCTTTCTCCACTAGGGAAAAAAGCGAGTTCGGTGAGCCCCTTTGGAGGACTGGACGTGGAAAGTTACGCGGGCTACATCACGGTGAACGAGACCTGGAACAGCAACCTGTTCTTCTGGTTCTTCCCGGCACAGGTAGGAGGGCGCCCCGCGGGGAAGCTGGTGGTACTCCAGCTCCAGGACTGGGATTGGGAATGTATTCGCGTTTCCCCTAAAAATAAGTACAAGAACTCCGAGTAGTATTCCTGTTTATGGGCAGGAAACAAGTGTTTGTGGACTTTGGGAGGGATCCAACTTTGAAATATCTCGCAGCCTTATTTGGCATGTCAGTAGTACCACCTTCTTCCTGCCACAGTCTTCTTCCTATCTTTTTGTTATTTTCTAAAAATAGTAGGGATTAGGATGGACAGGGGGCGCCTACCCCAGGAAGTGGAAAGGAATGGGACTGAAATGGACAGTTAACACACATGTGAACTGAATCCACCTCGCGCTCCCTCCTATGGCTGCCCTGTCTGTGGACTGCAGGGTCGTTCATCTTCCTAGGTCCCTGTAGACCCAAGGGGCATGTCTTTGTACTTTGGTCAATACTATTTAAATGGTTCACTTCAAAGTGGACACTTTAAGTTTTGGGATGCTGTTGGAGACAGTGGTAGAGGTGTTACTATGCATAAACAAATTTTTACCCTACACATAATGCATAGTAATTTCCTATTTTCCTTCTTCAAAGTGGATTTGATTTAAAAGGCAGAAAAAACAAAGGAAAACTATCCCTAGGAGGGTGATATTTATATTTATATTTATATTTATATATAGCAGTGTTACCTATAATAATTGGGTAAATTGCTAAAGCCAGGGTAATTTTCTAGTTAATTTATTTTTATTGGTACTGCTGGACCATATTTTCTTCTCTTTTCATTTCTGTTTTCTCAACCACATGACCAGTCCATTCCAAATCAGCCTGCTTGGGATGGGATGGCAGTGGGGCAGATGAGAAATCCAGAATTCCAGGTATATTTTTGCTGTCTCATGATGACCTCTAGACCCGAGAGTTTTTAATGTCTTCTTCAGTGTTAGTGTTGAGTGGGGAAAGTCAGGGGCCTTCAGCTCGGAATTTAAGGAGAACACTCAGGGCAAGATGAGCTAAGGTCCGCACCAAACGGGAGAGCTCTTTGGCCTCCTGTGCCTCTCCTTGTATCCCCGGCTGGAAAGCAGAGTCCGGAGTACAATAGTGCTGTCTGTCCCCAGAGCTCTTCTACCAGGGGGACACAGCAAGATGCAGAAGGCGGAGAATGAACCACCAGAGAGAGACAGAAAATAACCAGCTGGACTGTCTTGAGGAGACCTGATTTAAATTAAGCCTAGTCTAAAAATATGCTCATAGCTGAGCTTTTTTTAAAAAAACTTTTTTTTTTCATTTGTTTGCTTGTTTGCTTGATTTTGGCCATACTTATTTTAGACATCAGTTGTATTCTTGAGTTCAAACGTAATTTGATAATTTCTGTGAGTTTCTAGAAAATTTTATTCTCAAAATCATCTTTGTTTCTTGACTTCAATATCTATGTGTATTTCTTTTCTTCCACACATCATTAACTCCCAAAACCCGGCTACTAAAATCTCTCTGAAGTTTCTTATCTAACGATCTAGAAATACAAATATGGATTTACTTATTAAAAATCAACACATATATATTGTGCATATTTATGGGATGTTTTGATAAATGCATATATTGGGTAAAGCATTGCACATATTTTGGGTGTACCAGGTTTTATCTGTATCTATTTTGTAATGTTCAATTAGGATAAGCATTTATTTCCTCAAATATTTCTTTGTGGTGAAAGCATTTAAAATCTTTTCTAGTAGCCTTTTTGAAATATACAAGACATTACCAAACTCTCTGGTCACCAAAGCTTCTTCTAACTATAACTTATACCAATTGACTAACCTTTCCCCAACACTTCCTGTAGGCTACCCTCTGCACCTTCTGGTAACTACTGTACCCTCAGCTTCCGTGAGATCAATTTTTGAAAATCCTCATATGAGTGAGACCCCATAGTATTAATTGTATAATAGTATTAATTCTTCTATGCCTGGCTTATTTCAACTAATATAGTGTCTGCCATTTTCAGTCATGTTGTCAGAAATGACATTTCTACTCTGGGCAGAATAGTGTTCCACTGTATATATTTACCACACTTGCTTTATCCATTTATTCGTTGGTAGATACTTAGACTGACTCTGTTTCTGTTGGTGGGAATGCAAATTCATACAGCCATTATGGAAAACATATAGAGGGCCTTCAAACAATTCAAATTAGGACTACCGTATGATCCAGCAATCCCAGTACAGGATATACAACCCCCCTCAATTAAGATTAGTATGTCAGAGAGACATCTGCACTCTCATGTTTATTCCTATACTATACACAATAACCATAAAATGGAATAAACTTCTGTTTTCTGTTTTTTAAAGTCTCTTGCAGTTCTGTGTCTTTCAGAAACTAATCTACACACATATTTTTCTATCATACCTATCACCATCACTGAGTAGTTATTTATTAATTTTTTTGCATTCGTTTCCTTTGCTACTATAACAACTTGTCACAAACTTAATGTCCTAAAACAACATAGATTTTATTATTTCACAGTTTTTTAAGGTCTCAAGTCAGACAGAGGTCTCAGTGAGGCTCAGATGAAGGTGTGGTCAGCACTGTGTTCCTCCTGAAGTGCTCCCAGGGAGATGTCACTGCCTCTTGCAGCTTCTAGATGCCGCTTGCCTTGGCTCATTCCTTCCTCCATTTCTGAAGTTTGCAGGGCCAGGCTGAATCCCTCATCTCTCTGAGTCCTTCTCACATCGCATCGCTCTGGTGATCTCCATCCTTTTGTCACTTAGCTTTCTCTGATTTGTTTCCTGCCTCCATCTGCTGCTTTTACCAACCTTTGTGATTATGCTGAGGTAACCCAGAATTATTTTTATTTTTAAGGTCAGTTGACTGGCAGGCAACTTTATCTTCCCTTTTCCCTAACAGAGTCATGGGTTCTGCCAATCAGGGCGATTTTGGGAAGCTATTATTCTGCCAAACATAAATACTTGAGAATCACTTAGATTGGTGATTCTCAACATGTTCTTTCTCAGTGATCCTCACATTTGTAATATTTAAGATTCCTTACGACTTCTCTCAGAGATTCTGATTTATCAACTGGGAGAGGCGCATAAGTTGCAGAATTACTATTGGACCACACACCCGTGCCTCTGGCGCCTGGCCCCAATATGGCTCATACTTTCACTGGAAAGAAGCACCTGAAACAGTCAGTTGAGATGGAGAGTGTGGGTTGTCCCCTGCACCCACGCGGCATGAAGGTTAGAATGGGTGTCAAGAGGCAAGCACAACCTTCAGAAATCAGCTTTTGTCATGCTGCTTGAACCTGCTGAGCGCAGCCTCCGCCTGACCCTCCTGTTCTCATTCTGTGCTCCCGACCCCCACCTCAGCCGCAGACACCTGCTTGCTTCCTTTCTCCTCTTTGTTACCTGTTTATATACCAGTAAGTTCCTCATTAACTTTTGAATAATCCAGATTTGTAAAAGCAAGGACGAATGGTAAAGGAAGAGCTGAGATAGACACAAAATGAAAAAGCAGGATTTTTTCTTCCCCTTCCCCAAGCAGGTGAGAGGTAGAGGATGGCCTCCTCGGAACATAAATTGGGTCAGTGCAAGGGTCTCGGGTTCTGCTGTCCTGTTGTTGCATGAATAAGGCCTGAAACCTTCCTGTTTTAAACAGTGACTGGTCGCTTAGTGTGCTGTGATTGTCCCTCTTTAATTAATGAAAACCTGAGCAAAGTGTGTTCTTTTGGATTCAGTTCTATAGACATAAACGCATGCTTACATGGTCCAAGATGAATGTGAGGCCATCAGAACAGGAAAGGTCTTTAAGCACGTGCTATTCCATTGGAAATGATAGGTGCAGCTTCAGGGCCGTAGACAGGTGTCACTTTGTGGCACCTGGGACCGATGGTTCCCAGACCTCCTCACTGAGAAGCCCACATATGGAGTCAGGGCTTCAGGGCTTCCAGCTATAAATTAAAGAGCAAAACCAGTGTGGTGTGAAGTGGATAAAAGCATGCCAGAAAGAAAAGCGCCCATTACTAAAATGGAGGAGACTCCCTTTCTCTTGGCAGAAATTTGAGGTTCTGTCTGTCACAGGGAAGCAGCTGATGTTGTCATCAGGAAAGAAATGACCCTTTGAAAAAACCAAACGTAGAAAAAATAGAGATTCAGGAAGGATGCTGCACTTGTAATATCCTCTGAGTCATTTTTTGAGATGCTGTGTCTCAAATCAGTTTTTATCTTCCTGTTAATTCTGAGATTCCCTCCTTGCTATTGTGCACAAATCACAGAATAATAAACTCCAGAACTCCAAATTGGTGCATGGTGGGGATAGAGCAGAAAAAATGAGCAGGTAGTCTGTCTGGCATCAAAAGTATAATGAGGCCAATAAAAATTCAGCAACTAGAGTGGCTGCTGTTAAGTGAACATTGACTACATGCTAAGCACTGACTTTTTCTTATTGTAGTCTTCTAAGACCCCCAGGAGGAAGGAATTATTTTCCTCATTTTATAAATGGACAGAGTGACAGAAAGTAAATAATTAACCCCAAGTTACTCAACTGGAAATGGCAGGATTGGAATTTAAAACTAGGTGTCTAACCCATAAATCTTCGCTCTTGACCATCATCTATTAAATCCTGAGAAAAATAAAAGAAGTCACGGAATGCAGGAGTGTGTGGTAAATAAAAATTGAAAAGAATGGTTTCTTGAGTTAGGCGGGCTTGGGTAAAAATGGCTCCACCTCTTATGCCACATGCGACCTTGGCATATTTCCTAGTATCGGTCAGCTTTAGTTTCCTGTATTTAAATTAGGAATCAAAAGAGCTATTGGACAATGATTTTGAAACAGCAGCAGTAATGTTGCGTTTTGAGTTGTGCCTGGTAATAGTAAGTATACAATTGTTATTTCATTATGATTATGATTACTCTTATGTTATTAATGCAAATACCGTACTATGAAGAGCTAACCCAGTCACAAGTTGGGAAGTTAAAGAAGAGAGGAAATAGAGGGAAATTCCAAGTCAAAAGGATGTG